TGAAATCTTGAAACATAGGTCTCGTGTTCCCTCTCAACTATTTCTTCTCCCAGCTAAACACCCCCAGGAGGAAAGGCGGAAGGAAAAAGAGAAGGAAGGAAGGATAGGGAGGGAGGGAGGGAGGCAGGAAAGGGTGGAAGAAAGAGTGGAAGAGAAGAATGGATTGAAGAAAGGAAGGTGGATGAGAATGGAGGGAGGGAAGGGAGAATGAAGGAAAGACAAAAGGGAAGGAAGGAAGGAAAGAGGTAGAGAAGGGAGGAGGGAAAGAAGGAAGGACGAGAGAGTGGAAGGGAAGGAAGGAGGGAAGTAGAAGGAGGGAGGTAAGGATGGATGGAAGGAAGGGAGGGTGGAAGAGAATGGAGAGGGAGAAGGAAGGAGAGACTAAAAGGAAGGAAGGAAGAAAAGAGGAAGAGGAGGGAGAGAGGAAAGAGGGAATGAAGGAAGGACCAAAGGGTGGGAGAGAAGGAAGGAGGGAAGGAGAAAGAAGTAGGTAAGAAAAGATGGGAGGAAGGGATGGTAGAAGAGAATGGAGAGGGGGATCAAAGAAGGAAGGAGAGTTAAAAGGGAAGGAAGAAAATAGGGAGAGGAGGAGGGAGAGAGCAAAGAGGGAAGATGGCAGGATGCAAGGACAAAAGGGTGGAAGGGAAGGAAAAAGGAAAGGAGAAAGAGGGAAGTAAGGAAGGATGGGAGGAAGGGATGGTGGAAGAGAATGGAGAGTGGGGAGGAAGAAGGAAGGAGAGACAAAAGGGAAGGAAGGAAGAAAAGAGGGAGAGGAGGAAGGAGAGAGGAAAGAAGAAAGAGGGAAGAAAGCAAGGACAAAAGTGTGGAAGGGAAGGAAAAGGGGAAGGAGAAAGAAGGAGGTAAGAAAGGAAGCGAAGGAAGGAAGAGAGAAGGAAGGATGGTGAGAGAGAGGAGGGTCTGAGAAAAGAGTCCTAGGGGCCGGATCCAGCTTCCCGGCCTGGGTTTCCCATACCTGAACGATGTATTTCTCAATATGCACAACCATTCAACCTAAGCATTTGTACACGGCACTGGAGAAACATTCTGCACAATATAAAATGCATCTAATTCCTATTTACAAAGCTATTTTCAAAATAATTTTCTTTACCAGAAGGCTTTAGGAATTGTGGAAAAACAAATTAACTGAAATACAGAATTGGTGAATAATATCAACAACAAAAACCCATCAAGAATGATAACTATATAGATAATTCATACTAAAAGCAATTGATCCATTATTGTGTAGGTTTTACGTCTGATTATATATATTCCCCGTTTAATAGGTTCTCATAAGCAGATGCGGACTTAGAACACTTTCCGCAAACTGAAGACGTATCAAGTTGACTCCTACATCCCACTCCTAGTTAACACCTAAGCACATATTCAGAATCTAAAATCAGATAAACAGCTTGCAAAAGGAAAAGATTTAACACAAAGCAATGAATGTGCAAAGGCGAACGAAGCACGTCATTCATTTCTTAGAAAAGCAATAGACAGTAAAACCATTTGCACAGTTTTCAACAAAAACATATTTTTTTGCTTCGTCTTATAGAATCCCCCACCTTACACTCTGTTCGCTATAGTTATGTCACACACCTATACAGTTCTGTACTCATGACGACAGATTCAAAACATATGGCAATAATAAACAAATTGCTATCGTGAAGGCTCTGGAAAGCTATAATAATAATAACAACACTTTATTTGTACCCCGCTACCATCTTCCCAAGGGACTCGGTGCGGCTTACATGAGGCCGAGCCCAAATACAACAATACAAGCAATAATAACAACAATACAAGCAATTATAATAAAAAAAACATAGACAATAAAATATGCAACAATTAACAATAAGACAACACACAATTAAAAACAGTGGGAAGGCCAAATGTAAAGTTAAAATTGGGCGAAAAGGTGAAAGTAGCGTTTGTGGAAAATGTACAAGCACACCTAATATGTAAAGTGCTTTGGAGGACAAAGTGCTGAGGGATCATTATTCTGGGAAGGCACATTGGAACAACCACGTCTTCAAGCTCCTCCTGAAGACTGCCAGAGTTGGGGCCTGCCTGATGTCCTTAGGGAGTGAGTTCCAGAGTCGAGGGGCCACCACCGAAAAGGCCCTCTCTCTCGTCCCCACCAATCGCGTCTGCGATGCAGGTGGGATCGAGAGCAGGGCCTCTCCAGATGAACGAAGAGATTGTGTGGATTCGTATACAGAGATGCGGTCACACAGGTAGGCAGGTCCCAAACCGTTCAGGGCTTTTTAGGTAAGAACCTGCACCTTGAATTGGGTCCGGAAAATGAATGGCAACCAGTGGAGCTCCTTGAACAGGAGGGTTGACCGCTCCCTGTAAGCTCTCTGGGAATCTCTTAGGATGAGTCTGTAAACTGTTGGAACGAAATTAAAGGGAAACTAACAATAAGTCCAAAAATGTCAAAGGGAAGACAACACAGTTCCATGAAGTTCTGAAAGACAAACGTCACTGCAAAGCTTTGCATAGGGACTGATAAAATGATGCATCTAGTTAATGCTGTAACTGGAAGCCTTGTAGCGTGTGGTGGGCTCTTTGAAGCACATCCTCCTCTGGTTTAGATGCTGAAATTTGTGGCAGTGCCTCAGCCAAAGCTGCTGGATGGGCAAAGGTTTACCTGCATGAGGCTGAACGAGCAAAACTGGCAACCTACAAATCACTCGGCTGGCTTCTTCCCACAAAAAAAAAAAAAAACTAGGAGGAGCCGCTCATCTAAGCACATGCCTGTTGTCGTAAATGGATTGTGAAGTACAGCCACTGTATGAAATGCAAACTGCAGTAGGACGTCCGATTTCTGATTGCCATGTAAACTAATTTAGATCAAAGGATGAATTCAGATACAGAGGAGATGCATTGTCTCAGGTTCCTTCTAACTTTAAGGCAACCAGAAGAAGGCCCCAGACACAGGCTCCAGGTATGCGATTCATAATTTATGGCTTTCTATTGTGTTGTCAGTGTTCCAGCATAGAGTTGTGACAACTCAACAATCTCAAGGGCCACTGGGAAAACAACGCAAGCACAACACCAGATGAGAGCACACATTGCAAAGGATTTGCTACAGGGAACATCTGATGATGGCGGGGGGAGCAGCACCTGACAGGTAAATCTGGGCTTTACTCGTCGACAGGATCGGCTGTCTTTCCATCAGTGTGAAATCTTTTGATTGACTGGTTTATCTTTATAGTCAAGATCAATTCAACAGAAACAACAGCAGCCAAGGACAAAAAGAGAGGAAAAACTCCCCGCAGCAAAACAAGACAAGAATTTCATCAAATTAACCATCAACTGAAAAATCCAGAGAAGGAACACCTGTCCTTAAATACACCAGTATAGTAAAATCAGCAAGCTGTTAATTGAAGGATATATGTAAGCAAAGCAATAAAAATGACAGAAACAGTATAGTCCAAAACAGTATTTTCCAAAGAGAACAGATAGCCCATGAACTTCAGGGTACAAAGGTAAAAACACAAGATCCAAAGATGCTAAACCGAAAGGAACGAGGCAGCATGGAGATCCAATGCCCAGAACAGGAACCCGGCAAAACTTGAAACATGAAACTAGAATTCCACTTGGAAACAAGACCGTCATGAAACTCCAATTTTGAAGAGATTGAGCTAGAATCCTTTCCTCGTATCATATAATACTTTTCCTGTCCCATGAACTGAAAGGAAAACATTTCATTTTCCCTTTCAGCCAGACAAAGATTTCTTATCTCTCTTTTCTAGCAGACAAACTGACCTCCTCCAATCTTGAGAACTTTGCCTTAGTTTAGAAAAGTCTTGTTTTCTATCTTCAAAATCATTAAATTCTGAATCTGACAAATCATCCTCAGAACACAGTTTCTCAGAGAAAGGCTGATGTGGATCTCTCTCAGGAATTTGATTTTGGGAATCTACAGGAGAAACACTCTGTTCATGAGAAACCTCAGGCCTCTCAACAGAGCCTGGGCTGGACTCAGGCCCTGAAAAACTCTCATCCCCATTGACATCAGACACAGGCCCAGGAAAACCAAAATCCCCATTGGCAGCAGACGCAATCACAGGCTGAACTACAACACTCTTTGCCAACTTAAGTGTCAATTTACTGCAGAAGTGAAAAAGTAAGAACAATGGACAAATGATACAAAATTGTCTATATTTATCTTTTGCTTTATTTTTTGCTAAAGATCTTTCGTGTTCTCTGATACGCTATGCTATGAAGAAGGGTGCCTTGCACAGAAAAAAAACAATTCTTGGTTCTAACCCAGCAGAGCTCTTCTTGTATCACTTTAAGAGCACACCCTGCTTTGTTTGTGGGAGCGTCCCATACTTTAAGAGGCAAAGGTTTAGCACAGTTGGTAAATCATCAGCAATTATAATATCTATCAACCAAAAGGTTGCAAGTTCGAAGCCCCGAGTTGGCGTGAGCGGCCAACTGTTAGCCTAGCTCACTGTTTACCTAAGCAATTCGAAAACAGCTTTAGCTGTGATGAGAGAAATTAGGTACCGCTAAATAGCAGGGGAGGTGTTTTACGATGCCATAAAGAAAGAAGATCAGAAAATACTGAGCGAACAAAAGGAAGGAGGAAGTCCTGACGGCTCTTCGTCATAGAGGAAAGAGCAACCTTCCGTTGCACCTCCTTCTGTTCTGTCTGTCTGTGTATTGTCCATACAAAGCGGCACTGAATGTTTGCCATGTATGTGTACTGTGATCTGCCCTGAGTCCCCTTCGGGGTGAGAAGGGTGGAATATAAATAAAGTGATGATGATGATGATGATGATGATTATTATTATTATTATTATTATTATTATTATCACAGTATGTCACAGTCAACGAGATCTATATGCTGGATTTCGTATCACAAAATCACAAGTCAAACACTTCCTATGCATCTAGAATTTATTATTATTATTATTATTATTATTATTATTATTAGGCAATCAGGAGTCCCAGACACCCACACAATAGAAAGAAGAGACTGGGGCACTGACCCTACTCGTATCTTCAGCATGCCATTAAATAATTCAGGGGAGTTGGAGATGATCCAGCCAATATGAATGACAAGCTCTTGCTGGAGAACAGCTTCCCTCTCATCCTGCAAGTTGCACTTGTTGTAGATGATGTCCTTAATTGCGCCGGGAGACACAGGATTAGATATAATTTCTTCTTCCTGGCCAAATGCCCCAAGAGTCACCTAAAGGAATACATTAGCAGCAATTAGAGTTGCAACCTGAAAAAAAGAAAACAGCAAAGGCTACCTTATTCATTATATCTTCCCGACTCAACTCTGTGTTTGCTATTAGGACTCAATATTGGGGAGGATAATTAGCTTGGTGAGTTAAATTCACAACTGAGGAGTAAATGGAGCTTTGCAGGCCTCTTTTACTAACAGATTTTGTAACCAAAAAGAAGTATTGCCTTCAAAGGCAGAATAATAACTTGGCAGACTGCTTGTTGAATAAGAGACTTGATCTGCACTGTTTCTTCTTTATGATTAAAACTTCCATTAGACCAGTACGGTTCACAGACTTGCTCTGGATGGAAGTTACATCCTTCAACAGAGAGAAAGGGCTCATGATGCTGCTCTACTTTCCTCCCTGCTTCCACTGTATGAGATGCATAACGCACTCTGGTTAATGGTATGATCAGTTGTGATGCTACCAAAATCAAATTCATATTGTTCCTGGACCTTTAATATTTCACGGGGGTCCTTAATCACGTTCTCTCTTCTAAATGTTTAACACAATACTATAAACCAGGTATGGGCAAACCCAGGTCCAGGGGCCAGATGTGGGCTCTTTTTTTCGCGCCCTTCTCTCTCTCACCATCTTATCATTCCTTCCTTCTCTCTTTCCTTCCTCCTTCCCTTCCTCCCTTCCTTACCTCCCTCTTTCTTTCTTCCTCCCTATTTCCTTTCCTTTCATCTTTCCTTCCTTCCCTCCTTCTCCTTCCTTCCTTCCTTCCTTCCCTTTTGTCTTCTGTCCTTCCTTCCTTCCCTTCCTTTTCTCTTTCCTTCCTCCATCCCTCCCTCCGTTCCTTACCTCCATCTTTCTTCCTCCCTCTTTCCTTTCCTTTCACCCTTCCTTCCCTTTCCTTGCTCCTTCCCTCTTTCTCCTTCTTTCCTTCCTTCCCTCCCTCCTTCCTTCCCTTTTGTCTTCCTTTCATTCTTTCTCCTTTCCCTTCCTTTTCTCTTTCCTTCCTCCATCCATCCCTCCCTCCCTTCCTTACCTCCCTCTTTTTTCCTCCCTCTTTCCTTTCCTTTCACCATTCCTTCCCTTTCTTCTCTCCTTCCCTCTTTCTCCTTCTTTCCTTCTTTCCCTCTTCCTTCTCTCCCTCCTTCCTTCCCTTTTGTCTTCCCTTCTTTCTTTCTTTCTTTCTTTCTTTCTTTCTTTCTTTCTTTCTTTCTTTCTTTCTTTCTTTCTTTCTCCCTTCCCCTCCTTTTCTCTTTCCTTCCTCCATCCCTCCTTCCCTCTTTCTTCCTCCCTCTTTCCTTTCCTTTCACACTTCCTTCCCTTTCCTCTCTCCTTCCCTCTTTCTCATTCTTTCCTTCCTTCCTTCCCTCTTTCTTCCCTCCTTCCTTCCTTCCCTTTTGTCTTCCCTTCTTTCTTTCCCCCTTCTCTTCCTTCTCTCTTTCCTCCCTCCTTCCCTCCCTTCCTTACCTCCCTCTTTCCTTTCATTTCACTCTTCCTTCCTTCCCTTTCCTCCCTCCTTCCCTTCCTCCCCCCCTCCGTCCCTCGCTCCCTTCCTTCCCTCTTTGTCTTCCCTTCTTTCTTTCTCCCTTCCCTTCCCTCTTCCCTTCCCTTCCCTTCTATCTCTTTTTCCTTCCTCTTTTCCTCCTGGGGGATGTTTAGCTGGGAGAAGAGGAGCTAGAAAGGGAACATGAGAACCATGTTTCAAGGTTTAAAAGAGTGTCCCATTGAGGAGGAGGAGGAGAGGGAAAACTGACTTTCCGCTGCTCTAGAGACCAGGGCACAAGAAGAGAGCAATGGGTTCAAATGCCTGGGAAAGAGATTTGACTGAAAAGATTGGGAAGAACTTTGTGAGAGTAAGAGCTGTTGGAGAGTGGCCTAGGTTGCCTGGGAGTGTGGTGGAGTCTCCTTCTCTGGAGACTTTTCCACAGAGGCTGTCTATCAGGAGTGCTTTGATTGTGTCTCCCTGCATGCCAGGGGGTTGGACTGGATGATCCTTGGGGGTCTCTTCCAGCTCTAGGATTCTATATCAGGAGTAGGCAATATGGGGTCTAATGGATACACTTCTTCTCTCCTGTCCACCATCTCATCCTGACCAAGATTAACCCTTTTGGGATCCAAACATTTCCCGTCTTTCCATCACTTTCTGCCTCTGAAAGAGAAGAAGGGGAGGAAAGGGCAGGGAGGAGGCTTGGGGAGAACCCCCATCCACCCCACTCCGACCCACCATGTGGCCCCCATGACTGCTATAAATCAACACATTAGATCTACTAATTGTGCCTATAACTTTACATATCTATTCCTACGTACATAAACACACACACAACCCACTGTCTGGAGTCAGTGCAGTCGTAACGCTGCCTGTCCCTTTAACAGCGATGACCTGGTAGTGGGTCATGTTCTCCCCAACCCATACATGCATTACTTCCACCTTGCTCGAGGTATTCCTTAACTCTGCACCAGCGTTAACTGTGGGATTTGTTGATGCCAACCAGACTTCTTCCCTAAACAGGAGCTGAAAGTGAGACGGGAGCACAGCATCCCAGAGTGGGTTTCACTAACTACTGTCAAGAGACAGGCAGCATTACATCTTCACTGGCTCATTGACCCAAGCAAATGAAACAGAAAGCCATTCAGAAGACACAGCCAAAGCAGATGACAACAAACCGCCAAACCATGCCATATAGAAACAGGCTTATCACAAGTTATTATGCAGTAATGGGATGATGAGGAAGCTGAGATGGAATCCACGATGATGGATTGAGATAGAAAAGCACTCGCTGCCTCCCAGAAGGGCATGCTGCTAGTATCACATCCACAGTGATGCAAACACGCCTGCTCAAATGTCACTTCTAGGACATGTTCCTTGGGTTTCGAAATGCCTGAGGTGCCTATCGAAACACCAATGACTTGCCCGTTTTCAAAACACTTACATTTCCTTATCATAATGGACTATCCATATTTTTGATGTGATAAATTCTACAAAGTCTCTACAACTTATAAGAGAGCACTGTTAGAAAAATTTAGCACAAGAAAGTGGAATTAAATGTCAAAAGACGTGCCTCCAATGCACCTGACCTTGTTAGTCTTGATACACTTGGCAGAGGCCAAATTAACAACTTTAATTGATTCCGTCTCTAGTAGTTGCCTAAAACTACTTGTTTAAAACACCTTGACTCCTGTGCTATTCTAATAATATAATATAATGTAATATAATATAATATATTGTAGGTAAAGGTAAAGGTTTTCCCCTGACATGAAGTCCAGTCGTGTCCGACTCTGGGGGTTGGTGCTCATCTCCATTTCTAAGCCAAAGAGCCAGCATTGTCCGTAGACACCTCCAAGGTCATGTGGCTGGTATGACTGCATGGAACGCTGGTACCTTCCTGCCGATGCGGTACCTATTGATCTACTCACATTTGCATGTTTTTGAACTGCTAGGTTGGCAGAAGCTGGGGCTGACAGCGGAAGCTCACTCCGCTCCCCGGATTCGAACCTGCGACCTTTCGGTCAACAAGCTCAGCAGCTCAGCAGTTTAATCCACTGCACCACTGAGGGCTTATAATATTTATAATATAATAATAATAATATTTTATTTACAATATTATAATGTAATGCTATATAATATTCCTACTACTAATATATATTATAATTATATATTTATATTACATGTAATATTACTAATTATATATTTATATTACATGTAATATTACTCACACCAGAAGCGACTTGCAGTTTCTCAAGTTGCTCCTGACACAACAAAAAAAACAAAACCTAATAATATTACAATATAATGGTATAGTACAATATAGTAGTATATAATACTGATATTGTACTATGCTAATCATATAATATATTGTATGTCTATATATCTTGTAAGCTGCTCTGTGTCCCCTTTGGGGTGAGAAGGGCGGCATATAAATGTCATAAATAGGCCAAGCTCTGACAGAAAAAGATAAGGGAATCTCAACTAAAGCAAAACCAATTTCTGAGTGCTTAGGATAGCTTAATGAGGAGATAAAAGTCTCAAGTACGGGAAATGTAGCCAGATGAAGCATCATTTGGAATCAAGTGTAGTTCTCGTACTTGTTTCATGGAAGCCGTGCTTGGAAGATTCTTGTCTAAGTATTTCTTGTTTCATGGTTTTGATTCTTGGATTTTATGATTGCATACTCATGCCTTGGATTAATGTTTGCTGGTTTTTTGGATTATATTAGAGAAGTGTGGACTTTGTTTTCATGGACTTTGCTGAACTTTTCCCTGGACTGTTTTGTTCCTGCTTATCTTCTTACCTAATTGGATTTACCTATTTCTTTAAAGTGCTTTTTTAACTTTGCTGCTTTTTAATTATCTCCAATTAAAGGATTGTTTTCCTATTCAACGTGTGGTATTTAAAGTCAGAGGGCTTTTTCTGTCCTGGAGTGCAATATGTTGTGCATCACGAGGAAGGCAGAAAATGGTTCCATATTTGGAGTTTTGCAATGCGACTTTCCAAATCATGGAGAACGGCAAGCGTCACTTTAAAATGCAGCACTAAATAACTGCTGCATGCTTATTATCCTTGCGTCACCCATTTCCCCCTTAAAATACTTCCTCCCCCTGTATCCTCTTCTACACGTTAGCAATGAATACTGCAACTACTCTAAGACAGGGACATGTCTTATCTGTATTTCGCTATACAAAGTATTCGGCATACTGATGATACATAATAATAAAAATAGTGGAATACATCCAAATTTGGACCGAAGTAGAGCACACCCATTTAAATGAATGGAGTTTGTTAGTCACCACTTACATCCCAAGACAAGGAAATTTCTTGAAGACAGGGAAATCAGTACAATAAAAGAGCAAAATTAATCCATTTCGTTATGGTTAACAGGAAGTCACTGTGAAATTCGTGTTGATTTTACAGAATAGAAAGAGATTCTTTTTAAAGAAAGCATGCAAGTGACTTTAGAAATCTAAATCTCGTATTTTTTTTCCATGATTAACGATTTGGGGGAGGAATACAGACTTACCTGTTTGCCCTGAACTAAAACATTAGTAATAGACGGTGCAAGGCTGTCCACTAGTTTACATAAATGACTCGCTGCGAAGCGTACAACAGACCTGAGGGCAGAAAACAGAGCAATCCAGCTAGAAATCAAGCTCTAGTTTCATGAATCCAAGAATCTCAATTAAATCTTTTTGCCCCATTTTGGTCCATCCCAAATACTAAACATTTCAATAAGTATGTGGTATTTTATACTCGAGATGCATCTTTGTAAAACAGCATTTCTCAACCTGGGAGTCGGGACCCCTGGAGGGGTTGCCAAAGGGTATCAGAAGGGGCTGTTGGTCATGGGGGTTCTGTGTGGGAAGTTTGGCCCAATTCTATCATTGGTGGGGTTCAGAATGCTTTGATTGTAGATGAACTATAAATCCCAGAAACTACAATTCCCAAACGTCAAGGTCAACTACCTCCAAATTCTACCAGTGTCCACATTTGGACATATTGAGCATCCATACCAAGTTTGGTCCTGATCCATCCTTGTTTGAGTCCACAGTGCTCTCTGGATGTAGGTGAACTACAACTCTCAAGCTCAATGCCTACCAAACCTTTCTTGTATTTCCTGTTGGTCATGGGAGTTCTGTGTGCCAAGTTTGGATCAATTTCATCATTGGTGAAGTTAAGAATGCTCTTTGATTGTAGGTAAACTATAAATCCCAGCAACTACAACTCTGAAACGTCAAAGTCAATTACTCCCAAATTCCACCAGTGTTCACATTTGGGCATATTGAGCTTTCATGCCAAGTTTGGTCCTGATCCATCATTGTTTGAGTCCACAGTGTTCTCTGGATGTAGGTGAGCTACAACTCTCAAGCTCAATGCCTACCAAACCTTTCTTGTATTTCTTGTTGGTCATGGGAGTTCTGTATGCCAAGTTTGGTTAAATTCCATCTCTCTTTGTTTGGAGCATAATAAACAGGGCATGCAAAACAAACATCATTTGACAATCTTCTAGACGGAAAAACAGATGCAACATATCACATAGAGACAGTGATTCTGAGCAGCCAATTGTTGGTTGCTCACCATTAGACCATTCTAATGGTGAATTCACATGATACCATTATTCCACATTATTCCCTTCCACGACATGGGTATCAAAGGATATATTCATGGAGTTACTCAATAGATGATATAAAATTAAAATTGATCCGGAGATCATGTGGACGGTGAAAAGACAAGATGAAAACAACTATATTATTCCGCGACTGTTTTATCTCTGCTTCTTGGCACAAATAAGAAACACTTCAACTAAGAGACAAAGTATATGCTGCAAGCAGCCTGCTGTGAAATATGTCCTGCTGGGCTGCACAGCCTCCGGTGGCAAAATGAAGATCTTTACAAGGCAAAATATCAAACTTCAGATACTCTCAGAAGTATCAGGACTATCCAGTGAGCAAAGGACAACCCTCCTGATGTTGTGAAACGTCTCCAGACATGCCAACTAGCACAGCCAAGAGTGAAAAGCACTGCAGTCCAATGTTAGCTGAACAAGCTGAACTTTGCTTACCCTGATCTCAAACATTCCTCTTCACATGATACTTCTGTATGTGAAAGTGAGGGAGGTGAATTATTGTTACCTATGTCATCTAGAGGGAATTCCAGAACTTTGGGATAAGTCCCTGCAGGTCAACATGAAGGAAGACCCTGCTTTCTCAGACTTAGGAGCATTTGAGCAGTAGTTCTGATTAGTCCATGTCTATCTGTCCATATGCTGATCGCTTTTGTGAAATAATAATTTAAACCATGGAACAACAGACTGGTTCAAGATTGGGAAAGGCGTACGGCAGAGTTGTATACTCTCACCCAACCTATTCAACTTGTATGCAGAACACATCATACGATGTGCAGGGCTTGTTGAATGGAAGGCTGGGGTGAAAATTGGTCTTGACCTATAAAGCCCTAAACGACTCCAGCCCAGTTTACCTGTCCGAACAGATTCTCCCCTATGAACCATCAAGACTATTAAGATCTTCCGGGGGGGCCCTGCTCTCGGTCCCACCACCCTCGCAATCACGGTTGGTGGGGACGAGGGACAGGGCCTTCTCGGTGGTGGCTCCCCGGCTTTGGAACTCCCTCCCACTAGAGATTAGATCTGCTCCCTCCCTCCTGATGTTCAGGAAACTACTAAAGACCTGGCTCTGGAATGTGGCATTCGAGGACTGAATCTATAACCTCCTTCCACAAGGAAGGAGGATGATGAACTGCGACTATGATTATGACTATGACTGGATTGATGACTTGGCTTAGATAATTGTGATGATGATGTTTTTATTGTACTTTATTGTACTATTTTAATATGTAATGATGTTGCACTTTGTTGTACTTATATATTATTGTACTTTCATATATGCTGTAAACCGACCTGAGTCCCTCGCTGAGGTGAGAAGGCCGGTATAGAAAACTTCTAAATAAATAAATAAATTGCTGGAAGAAACATTAACAACCTTAGATATGCAGATGATACCACTTTGATGGCTGAAAGCGAGGAGGAGCTGAGGAGCCTTCTAACCAAGGTGAAAGAAGAAATTGCAAAAGCTGAGTTTCAGTTAAACATAAAAAACCAAGATTCTGGCAACCAGACTGATTGACAACTGGGAAATAGAGAGAGAAAACGTGGAGGCAGTGACAGACTTTGTATTTCTAGGTGCAAAGAGGTTGACTGCAGCCAGGAAATCAGAAGATGTCTACTTCTTGGCAGGACAGCAATGACCAATTTTGATAAATAAAGATTATTATTATTACTACTACTACTACTAATTCTGGTTGCTTCTGGAGTAGTAGTAGTAATAATAATAATAATAGTAATAATAATAATAATAATAATAATAATAATAATAATAATAATCTTTATTTATACCCCACCACCATCTTCCCAAAGGGGACTCGGGGCGGCTAACATGAGGCCAAGCCTGGAATTACAATACAGCAAAATAAAATACAACTAAGCAAAAATAACATTAAAAAATACAATTGTATATGTATTGTCGAAGGCTTTCATGGCTGGAATCACTGGGTTGTTGTAGGTTTTTTCCGGGCTCTATCGCCATGTTCTGGAGGCAATTTTTCTCCTGACGTTGATGCAGATGCAGATGCAGGCGAAACGACAGGAGAAAAACTGCCTCCAGAACATGGCCATATAGCCCGGAAAAACCTACAACAACCCAACAATTGTATATCTTTGTATATACAAAAAATTATTAGAGTGGAATAATGGAGCAGAGGATGAGAAAGAATATATGAAAAGATGGAAAGAAAATATCAGAAGAACGATAAGAAGAGAAGAATGGGAAGAAATCTGGACCAGAAAATTGAAGTATTCATACGCATCTGACTTGGATAAAGATATCACAAAGATGGTATATGACCCCTTATAAATTAGGCAAGTGTTATAAAAAATGCCTATTCAGAGTGTTGGAAGTGTAGAAAAAAGGAGGGTACATATTTCCACATGTGGTGGACGTGCGAAAAAGCGAAGGTGTACTGGAAGATTATACAAGAAACAGTACAAACAGTGCAGGGGATATCATTTAAAGCCAGAAATATTTCTACTAGGAATCACGGAACAAAAAATGGAAAAAAAATCTAGATAAAATCCTGTTTCTGCTACCCACTGCAGCCAGAATCGGCTATGCAAGATTATGGAAAAAACAGGAGACACCAAGTACAGAAGACTGGCTAGAAAAAGTTATGGAAATTAGAAATATGGACAGACTTACATATTTGATATCAAAAAGCAAAGGTAAACCGATAAAAGAGACAAATTGGACGAAAGTTACAGAATATCTAAAAGAAAAGAAATATAAGATGCTAATATAGAAATTAAAAAATCAACCTCAAAAGAATGAAAGGGAGATGGAATGAGGAAGGAAGAAAGAAAAAGAGAGAAAAAGGAAGAAGGAAAAGGATGACACCTCACAGAAGATATTCTGGAAGTCAAGAAGAAAATATGCTTTTTTTTTCTTTCCCTTAAGTTATATCTTAAAATTCTTTCCTTTTTTTTTGTTTCTTCTCTCTCTCTCTCTCTCTCTTTTTGCTTTTTCTTTTTTTTAACCTTTCTGATTTTTTTTAAATCATGCTATAGAAAAACTCAATAAAGACATATTTTAAAAAATACAATTGACTGGTTGCCCTGACATGACAAATAAATACTACTACTATTAGCCATCCCCTGCCACACGTTGCTGTGGCCCAGTCTGTGTGTATGTGTTTTGTGTGTGTATGTGTATATATGTGGTTTTGCAAATGTGTTGTAATGTATTTTGTTATATTTTTTTTTGGCCTTTTAAGTCCCTTCCACTGTGTTTTTCGGTATTTTAATGAGTGATGGTCACTTGTCGGCCTGATAGGTGTCTTGTGTCCAAATTTTGTGTCAATTCACCCAGTGGTTTTTGAGTTATGTTAATTCGACAAACAAGCATTACATTTTATATAGATTACTAGCTGTCCCCTGCCACGCGTTGCTGTGACCCAGTCTGTTGATCTGGGAAATAAAGTAATGAGAAAGTGTTGGTTTCTAATATATGCAATTTCTTTATGCTTCTGGTTAAACAGGATTTCTTGCTGTTTCTTTGTCAGTGTTGATGTGGAGAGTGTCTGATTTGCCCACCTTGGAACATGCAACATATCATTGTCCATCTTTAAGGGTCCCTTTCAAATCTATGATATTATATCTCTCTCTGTGTGTGTGAATCATATCTATCTATCTATCTATCTATCTATCTATATCTATGGCTGGATGGCACTTTTTCAGGAGGACTTTGATTACATTTTCTTGCCCTGATGAAGAGAGTTGGATTGGATGGCCTTAAGTATTTTCTGATGGTCATGGGGGTTCTGTGTGGGAAGTTTGCCCTGGTTCTGTCGTTAGTGGGTTTCAGAATGATCTTTGATTGTAAGTGAACTGTGAATCCCAGTGACCACAACTTCCAAATGTCAAGGTCTATTTCCCCAAACTCCATCTGTGTTCATATTTGGGCGTATTGAGTGCTTGTCCAGATCCATCATTGTTTGAGTCGACAGTGCTCTTTGGATGTAGGTGAACTACAACTCCCAAACTCAAGGTCAGTGCCCACCAAACCCTTCCAGTAATTTCTGTTGGTCATGGGAGTTCTGTGTGCCAAGTTTGGTTCAATTCCATCATTGATAGAGTTCAGAATGCTCTTTGATTGTAGGTGAACTATAAATCCCAGCAACTACAACTCCCAAATGACAAAATCATAATTTTTTGAGTGATGGTCACTCCTTGTGTTGTGAGATGGTATGTTGCCAAATTTGGTGTGATTTCGTTCATTGGTTCTTTTGTTTTTAAGGTACTCATTATGCACAGAGCATTTTTATTATATAGAGATTATTATTGTCTAGCACTGGCTTGGTAAATGAAACAATAATGTATAAAGAGAGTTAATACATGAGTGTGTGGTATTCGCCTAGATTAGCACAAAATCCATCAGCCAAATTGGTGCTGAGTTCCATGACAACAAATGCACACACCCTTCAAAATCCAGAGCAAAAAAACAAACACCCAATGAAACAAACCCCGATGTAAGCAATACAATCAAAATGCAAATAAGCCAGCACATCTAAAGCAGCACTGCTTCAAACCTTGATGCACTTTACCTGCTTCCCATGGACTACCAGAGTTGTAATATGAGGGGCTAAAGAGGCAGCGAGCTTCTGAATGCATGCCGCGCTGCAGCGTAACACCAACCTAGATATGGCATAAACAATTACGAAAGAGGAATTCAGAAGGAGGCCGTTTCTACGTTGACCCCATACAATGTTTAGTGGAGAGGCATTTCCAAAACTGGGGTTGGGGCTGGAGGAAATGAAGCTGACAGAGGGAGCTCAACCTGCTCTCCCCGGATTCGAACCGCTGACCTATTGGACAGCAGTCCTGCCGGCACAAAGGTTTAACCCACTGTGCAAGACAAGATAAAATGGCCAGCAGAATGTTGCCTTAGAAACATCTAGAGCAGTGTTTCTCAACCTGGGGGTTGGGACGCTTGCGGGGGTTATGAGGGGGTGTCATAGGGGTCGCCAAAGACCACCTGAAAACAAGTATTGTCTGTTGGTCATGGGGCATCTGTGTGGAAATTTTGGCCCAGTTCTATCATTGGTGGGGTTCAGAATGCTCTTTGATTGTAGGTGAACTTTAAATCCCAGAAACTACAATATAATACAATATAATACTATTACCACTACAACAACAAATAATAATAATAATAATAATAATAATAATAATAATAATAATAGTATTACAAAATAATGGTATAATATCCCAGTAACTATAATTCCCAAATTTTCCTCAAGCGTTCTGTGTGGGAAGTTTGGCCCAATTCTATCGTTGGTGGGGTTCAAAATGCTCTTTGATGGTAGGTGAACTATAAATTCCAGCAACTTCAACTCCCAAATGTCAATGTCTATTTTCCCCAAAATCCACAAGTGTTCACATTTGGGTGTTTGGGGGATTTGTGCCAAGTTTGGTCCAGATCCACCATTGTTTGAGTCCACAGTGCTCTCTGGTTGTAGGTGGACTACACTCCAAAACTCAAGGTCAATGCTGACCAATCCCTTCTAGTATTTTCTGTTGGTCATGGGAGTTCTGTGTGCCAAGTTTGGTTCAATTCCATCATTGCTGGAATTGAGAATGCTTTTTATTGTAGGTGAACTATAAATCCCTGCAACTACAACTCCCAAAAGACAAAATCAACCCACCCTTGCAAACCCAAATTTTCCTCAAACTCCACCATTGTTCAAATTTGGGCATATTGAGTATTCATGCCAAATTTGGTCCTGATCCATCATTGTTTGAGTCCACAATGATCTCTGAATGTAGGTGAACTACAACTCCAAAACGAAAGGACACTGCCCACCAAACCTTCCAGTATTTTCAGTTAGTCATGGGAGAAATGTGTGCCAAGTTTGGTTCAATTCCATCATTGGTGGGGTTCAAAATACTCTGTATTGTAGTTGAACTATAAATCCCAGCAACTACAACTCCCAAATGACAAAATCCATTTTTTTTGAGTGAAGAACATACATTGGGTTGTTAGGTGTCTTGTGTCCAAAATTGGTGTCAATTCATCCAGTGGTGCTCAACCTTCCTAATGCCGTGACCCCTCAATACAGTTCCTCATGTTGTGGTGACCCCCAAACATAACATTATTTTCGTTGCTACTTCATAACTGTCATTTTGCTACTGTTATGAATCGTAATGTAAATATTTGACATGCAGGATATATTTTCATTCACTGGACCAAATTTGGAACAAATACCCAATATGTCCAAATTTGAATACTGGTGGGGTTGAGTGGGATTGATTTTGTCATTTGGGAATTTTAGTTGCTGGAATTTATAGCTCACCTACAATCAAAAAGCATTCTGAACTCCACCATTGATGGAATTGAACCAAACTTGGACCAACAAAAAATATTGGAAGGGTTTGATGGGCATGGACATTGCGTTTTGGTGTTGTAGTTCACCTACAACCAGAAAGCACTGTGGACTCAAACAATGGTGGATCTGGACTTTACTTGGCACAAATACTCAATATGCCCAAATATGAACACTGGTTTAGCTTGGGGAAAATAGTCCTTGACATTTGAGAGTTGTAGGTATTGGGATTTATAGTTCACCTACAATCAAAGAGGATTCTGAACTCCACCAATGATGGAATTGAACCAAACTTGGCACACAAAACTCCCATGACCAACAGAAAATACAGGAAGGGTTCGGTGGGCATTGACCTTCAGTTTTGGAGTGTAGTTCACCTACAACCAGAGAGCACTGTGGACTCAAACAATGGTGGATCTGGACCAAACTTGGAACAAATCCTCCAAACACCCAAATGTGAACACTTGTGGATTTTGGGGAAAATAGACATTGACATTTGGGAGTTGAAGTTGCTGGAATTTATAGTTCACCTACCATCAAAGAGCATTTTGAACCCCACCAACGATAGAATTGGGCCAAACTTCCCACACAGAACCCCCATGACAATAGAAAATATTGTGTTTTTTCTGATGGTCTTTGGTGACCTCTCTGACACCCACTCGTGACCACCCCCCCCCCCAGGTTTCCCGACCCCCAGGTTGAGAAAGTTCTAAGGATATTGGGGATGCACTAGAAAGTTCTAACGATATTGGGGCGAATCACTGATGTGAAAAGCAACCCATCATAGAGATCGTAACTGGATGGTAATTGCAGCAGACGTCCACGGGCTCCCAACGAAATAATAGATCTTTTTAAAAGCTTCATAAATGTAATTTAACAGTCGACTAATTTCCAGAGCAGCAAAAAAGGGGTTCCGTCGCATCTTTCACTCTGCAGAAATCATGCAAGTTTTAACAGCCCCTCTAATAGTACAAATTGCCTGGTGCAATAATACTTTCTTCCTAAGTTATTTGTGCTCTCCCTTTCCTTGCATTGTAATGCCTTGTCTTGGTTGCTCTTTGCACAGTGTATTTGAATCTCTGAGAATCAGGGGCCAAAAGAAAAGGCTTCCGGATGTTCTAACCAGGTTTTGAGACCCGACTTTCCTTTCCTTGCAAATTCAACACGGACGCAGAACTTGACGTAATATGATATAGTATTAAGATTCATGCATCAGAATCCCAAATTGTGACTCTCTTGTGAAATCAGTCTAAATATACTGACTTTATCTAGAGAAACTTCCAAGATAGACAGTAGAGAATTCAAAAAATGGCAATGGCACCATATCAACAGGAAGCAGAAAGACGGGAAATACAAACCAGAGCTTTTTGCTGCCAGCTTTTCGATATATTCTTTCAATATGATCGGAGACGGTACCTAGTTCACAAACAAAACGAAGAAGACACAAAAAGAAATGGAGTTAAACTACATATTATTTATTTATTTACTAGCTGTAACCGCCACGCATTGCTGTGACCAACCTTCCCTCCTCCTTTCCCTCCCTCCTTCGCTCCCTCTTTCCTTCCTTCCCTTTTTTCCTTTCCTTTTCTCCTTCCTTCCTTCTCTACCTCTTTCCTTCCTTCCCCCTTTTTCTTTTCCTTTCTCTCTCCTTCCTTCCTTCCTTCCTTCCTTTGCTTTTTGCTTCCATGCTTCCTTCTCTTTCCTTCTCTCCCTCTTTCTCTCCTTCCTTCTCTCCCTCTTTCCTTCCTTCCTTTTTTCTTTCCTTCTCTACATCTTTCCTTCTTTCTTTCATTTTCTTTCCATCCTTCCTTCTCTCTTTCCTTCCTTCCCTCTTTCTCTCCTTCCTTCACTCCCTCTTTCCTTTCTTCCTTTTTTCTTTCCTTCTCTCCTTCCTTCCTTCACTACCTCTTCCTTCCGTTGCTCTTTGCTTCCATGCCTCCTTCTCTCTTTCTTACCTTCCCTCTTTCTCTCCTTCCTTCATTCCCTCTTTCATTTCTTCCTTTTGTATTTCCTTCTCTCCTTCCTTCCTTCACTACCTCTTCCTTCCTTCCTTTGCTCTTTGCTTCCATGCTTCCTTCTCTTTCCTTCCTTCCCTCCCTCTCCCTCCTTCCTTCCTTCCCTCCCTCTTCCTTCCCTTTTTTCTGTATCGTCATTTAGTTCTTTTGGCTTTTTAAGTCTATTCTGCTGTGTTTTCAGTGTTTTTATGAGTGATGGTCACTTTTTGGCCTGATAGGTGTCTTGTGTCCAAATTTGGTGTCAATTCACCAGTGGTTTTTGAGTTTTGTTAATCCCATAAACTAACATTACATTTTTATTTATATAGACTAGCTGTCCCCTGCCAGGTGTTGCTGTGACCCAGTCTGGTGATCTGGAAAATAAAGGCATTAGAAAGTGTTGGTTTCTGATATATGTAATTTAATATATGCTTGTGGGTAAACAGTATTTCTTGTTGTCTCTTTGTCAGTGTTGATGTGGAGATTGTCTGGTTTGCCTACTCTGAAACATACAACTTATTATTGTCCTTTTTTAGGGGTCCTGTTCAAATCTATGATACTATATCTCTCTGTGTGTGAATCATGTCTATCTATATTTATGGCTGGATGGCTCTTTGTCAGGAGGGCTTTGATTACATTTTCTTGCCACAGTGAAGGAAGTTGGACTGGATGGCCTTGAGTATTTTCTGTTGGTCATGGGGGTTCTGTGTGGGAAGTTTGCCCCAATTCTGTCGTTGGTGGGATTCAGAACGCTCTTTGACTGTAGGTGAACTATAAATCCCAGCAACTACAACTCCCAAATGTCAAGGTCTATTTCCTCCAAACTCCATCTGTGTTCATATTTGGGCATATGGAATATTCGTGCCAAGATCCATCGTTGTTTGAGTCCATGGTGCTCTCTGGATATAGGTGAACTACAACTCCCAAACTCAAGGTCAATGTTCACCAAACCCTTCTGGTGTTGGTCATGGGAGTCCTGTATGACCCGTTTGGTTCAATTCTATCATGCTATTTGATTGTGGGTGAACTATAAATCCCAGCAACTACAACTCCCAAAAGACAAAATCATATTTTTTTTTAGTGAAGGACATAGAATGTGTTGTTAGGTGTATGCTGTCCAAATTTGGTGTCAATTCGTCCAGTGGTTTTTTAATTATGTTAATCCCACAAACGAATGTTACATTTTTATTTATATAGATGCCGCCCATCTCACCCGGAAGAGGACTCAGAACGGCTTACAAGATATATATATATATATATACATGCAATATATTAAATTATTAGCATAATACAATATCAGTATTATATATTACTATATTGTACTACACCATTATATATTATTGTAATATTATTAGTAATATTACATGTAACATAAAATATATAATTATAACATTGTATTATTATTGGTAGTATTATATTGTATTACATTATAATATTATAAATATTATATGTATATACAATATATTATAATGAACTTGAGCAGTTGGTTTTAATTCAGAGACACAGGTCGTATTATTTGTTATGCTTAAGGCTGCAAACTAATGATTTTTCCACTCCCATTTGTTTGTGCAGGTGTTTAAATACCAATGTTTATGTTATTCGCTTCATGGGAAATATTCAGCCTCTCTTAACAATAACAACCCACAGTGCTTCCCTTACAGTCTATATGCTAATATAATAGTTATGGAGTTTAACTCTAGCTGAGTAGTTAAAATACGAATATTAAATATTTGCATGGAGGCTTTCTGCAATGAGGGCTTGTGGTTGTTTTGAGATTTTATGCTAACAGAGCTGGAGGTAAGCCTTCTCCTAAGCTCTTATTTGCACAGCTTTCTACAACTGGGTCACGAGGGTCATTTTCCAGGATTTTGCTAGATATGCATAAAAATTGAGCAACCCGAAGCATTAAATTACCCAATTGCTAAGAATCCCAGTGCAAGTGTCCATTGTAACTCTGCAGCACAATTTCAGGATGAGATATATAATACAGTAAGATGCCTGCAACCATAGAAACCATATCCACGGATTCTGTGGTTATGGGGGTCTCGCTGCATTGTTTCATGCCTCAGGGGAGCGTGCTTGCCCCATCCATGTTCAACATCTACACAAATGACCAGCCACTGCCAGAAGGGACAGAGAGCTTCATTTATGCTGATGATCGTGCCATTACTGCTCAAGCAGGGAGCTTTGAGATGGTTGAACAGAAGCTCTCCGAAGCTCTTATTGGCTACTACAGGGAAAAACAGCTGATCCCTAATCAATCTAAAACACAGACATGTGCCTTTCACCTTAACAACAGATAAGCATCCTGAGCTCTGAGGATTACCTGGGAAGGAATCCCACTGGAGCATTGCAGCACACCCAAATACCTGGGAGTCACTCTGGACCATGCTCTGACCTACAAGAAGCACTGCCTGAACATCAAGCAAAAAGTGGGTGCTAGAAACAATATCATACGAAATCTGACTGGCACAACCTGGGGATCACAACCAGACACAGTGAAGACATCTGCCCTATGATACTCTGCTGCTGAGTATGCATGCCCGGTGTGGAACACATCTCACCACGCTAAAACAGTGGATGTGGCTCTTAATGAGACATGCCGCATTATCACGGGGTGTCTGCGCCCTACACCACTGGAGAAATTACACTGTCTAGCCGGTATTGCACCACCTGACATCCGTTGGGAAGTAGCAGCCAATAGTGAAAGGACCAAGGCAGAGACATCTCCAGCTCATCCCTTGTTTGGGTATCAGCCAGCACGTCAACGACTTAAATCAAGAAATAGTTTTCTTAGATCTACAGAGACACTCGCTGGAACACCTCAGCAAGCGAGAGTCCAAAAGTGGCAGGCTCAAACCCAGAACCTCAACCAATGCCTGATACCAAATGAGAGACTCCCTCCTGGGCACACAGAAGACTGGGCGACTTGGAAGGCGCTGAACAGACTGCACTCTGGCACCACAAGATGCAGAGCCAACCGTTGGGCAAAGGTTGCACGTCCTGTTTTAAAGACAATCATTTACAGGCCCAGCGCGCGACAGAACAGTATATATTTTTTAAAAGCCCCCCTTGGTGGTACAGTGGGTTAAACTGCTGGGTGGCTGAACTTGCTGACCGAAAGGTCACCGGTTCAAATCCGGGGAGCAGGGTGAGCTCCTGCTGTTAGCTCCAGCTTCTGCCAACCTAGCAGTTCGAAAAGATGCAAATGTGAGTAGATCAATAGGTACCACTCCAGCAGGAAGGCAATGGCACTCCATGCAGTCATGCTGGCCACATGACCTTGGAGGTGTCTACGGACAACGCCGGCTCTTTGGCTTAGAAATGGAGATGAGCACCAACCCCCCAGAGTTGGACATGACTAGACTTAATATCAAGGGGAAACCTTTATTAACTTACCTTTACTAACTTACCATCCCAGCTCCGTGTACCAAAAGTTCCATGTAACTCAATATATTAACCCAGCAAAGTAACAGACAGTCTCTGCAGCCAAAAAATTTCCAGCCCAACCTGCCTTCCAGCTTCACCTACACAGATGAAATCCATCTCCCCCACACACGGCATGCTCAGAATTATAAACAGACATCTGGTGCGTGAACTATTTAAAAGAGTTAATATATTTAATGGTTCATTCCACTCTGCAGTGTACGAACGCCTGTTTCCCATTTAAAAGAGGAAGTGCTTTAATGGAGAGGAAAATAGCAACACCATTTTCACTGTGGATACCCATTATTCATGTTCATCAGTGGATGTGCAAAATTGCCTCCGGCAATCATACCTTCCTTGGTGATGAAATGGGGGCCTTCCCTTTTGAGTAAAATGTTCAGCAGAATCGCTTGGCTCGCAAGGCAATTGCAGTCCTGGCAAAAAACAAAACAAAACACAAAGCCATCGAGTCTAAATCAATAGCATGGAAGAACGAAGGAGAACAATGTAAAGGAAAAAATAGGCTTTCTCTTGGTGATATATATATATATATCTATATAAATAAAAATGTAATGTTCGTTTGTGGGATTAACAGAACTCAAAAACCACTGGACGAACTGACACCAAATTTGGACACAAGACACCTAACAACCCAATGTATGTCCCTCACTCAAAAAAAATGATTTTGTCATTTGGGAGTTGTAGTTGCTGGGATTTATAGTTCACCTACAATCAAAGAGCATTCTGAACTCCACCAACGATGGAATTGAACCAAACTTGGCACACAGTTCTCCCATGACCAACAGAAAATACTGGAAGGGTTTTGGTGGGCAGTGTCCTTTGGTTTTGGAGTTGTAGTTCACCTACATCCAAAGATGACTGGATTCAAACAATGATGGATCTGGACCAAACGCTACGCGAATACTCAATATGCCCAAATGTGAACACTGGTGGAGTTTGGGGAAAACAGAATCTTGACATTTGGGAGTTGTAGTTGCTGGGACTTATAGTTCATCTACAATCACAGAGCATTCTGAACAACCCAATGATAGAATTGGGCCAAACCTCCCACACAGAACCCTCACGTGGGCCACAGCAACACGTGGCAGGGGATGGCTAGTCAGAGGCGGCCCTAGGTAATTTTCAACGGTAAGCAAACAGTATTTTGGCGCCCCCCCCCCCCACCAATCATTGATATATATTTTCTGTTCGTCGTGGGAGTTCTGTGTGCCATATTTGGTTCAATTCCATCATTGGTGGAGTTCAGAATGCTCTTTGATTGTAGGTGAACTATACATCCCAGTAACTACACTTGCCGCATTTGCTCCCTTGCCTGGCCCGCTTTGGGTCCGGAGGCAGTGCCTGAAGACCCCGGCGTGTGCACCAAAAGTCACCTCTTCTGACTTTCTCCTCAGCCATTGGGACCGTGAGAGAGAGAGCGGCAGAGGTGGAGATGCCCACCTTTCCTGAAGGTAGGCGCAAAAACAAAGAAGGGAGCGGAGGTGGGAGATACCTCCAGCCGGAGGGGCTCTCTCTCTCTCTCTCTCTCTCTCTCTCTTGGTCCCAATGGCTGAAGAGAAAGTCAGGAGAAGAGGCGACTTTTGGTGCGCACGCTGGGGTCTTCAGACACGCCTCCGGATCCGAAGCGGGCCAGGCGTGGAGCTCCGCCCCTTGGCCCACCCGTGGATTGGGGAGAGGAGAGGAGGCGGGTGAAGCGCTGGGGGATCGGGAAAGGGTCATGGGGAAGGGATCGAACGCGGAGAACGATTGAGCGCCGGCTCTGCTCGCGCACCCGGTGGCCGGGTGGAGCAGGAACGAGGGGCTAGGCGAGGCTCAAGGGCCCGGCCCCTTTGGGAAGAGGATCGCCCGGCAGCGAGGCAAGAAAGCCGAGGCCCCCCCCGGACTGCTAGGGCTGTTGTGAGCTGAGGGGCGCTCCTCAAGTGGTGGTCGAGGGGCATTTACAGAGGCGCCTCTGCGCCCCTGGCAAAAAAAAAGTGTTCTGCGACCGCTTACTTCGCGTAATGGACGAGCCGCCCCTGCTGCCAACTAAAGAGAAACCTTTGATCACCTTCAAGGGTTCTTGTGGGTTTTCACCTCTGAGGATGCTTGCCATAGATACAGGCGAAACGTCAGGAGAAATGCCTCTAGAACATGGCCATATAGCCCGAAAAAAACCCACAAGAACCTATTGATTCCAGCCATGAAAGCCTTCAACAATACAATGTTATATTTATTTGTGGGATTAACATAACTCAAAAACCACTGGGCGAATTGACACGAAATTTGGACACAAGACACCTATCAGGCTGACAAGTGACCATCACTCATCAAAACACTGCAAAACACAATGGAAGAATAACAAAATACATTACAACACATTTGCAAAACCACATATATACACATACATATGTTTTGTGTGTGTATGTATTCACATACATACACACAAAACACATATACACAGACTGGGCCACAGCAACGTGTGGCAGGGGATGGCTAATAATAATAATAATAATAATAATAATAATAATAATAATAATAATAATAATAATTTTTATTTATACCCCACCACCATCTTCCCAAAGGTGACTCGGGGCGGCTAATGTGAGGCAATGAAGCAATGGGAGTTGTACTTGGTGGGATTTATGCTGGGGAGCGAGTTCCACAGGCGGGGAGCCACCACCGAGAAGACCCTGTCCCTCGTCCCCACCAAGAGCGTTTGCGACAAAGGTGGGATCGAGAGCAGAGCCTCCCTGGAAGATTGTAAGTTTCAAGGTGGGATGTAGGGGGATATAAGTTTGGACAAGTAAGCTGGGCCAGAATGGACTATTTTATACATTTGGACTTAGACATTTTTTACTATTTTGCTGAACTGCTTTTTATATATGCTTTAATAAACCGCTTTACTGATTTACATTGGACTAGAGTGTGGCGGTTAAGTACAGAGGTGCTTCCTGTCCTGGAATACAACAATTAGCTTGCAAGTAAGGAGTGAGAAACACAGAGAACGTACATTAGTATGAATAGCCTAAAATACTGTCTCTCAAATGTTTAGTTATCATTCTTAGAGTAGGATTTGTAGCCAAATTTCAGCCCCAGGATCCTGCCTGAGCCACAGCAGACCAATAAAAGGAGTGTCCAGGACCTAATTTTGTGGAAAGACCATGTGTATAGGGCAACATCAAGGCATGGGACAGAAATAATCGGGACTTGCATTGATTCCCACCCCCGCCTTAGACAAACATTGATTTTGGTAAAATATATGTTACTAGCTGTCCCCTGCCACGCGTTGATGTGGCCCAGTCTCGTGAGCTGGAAAAGAAAGTATTGGTTTCTAATCTATGTAATTTCTTTATGCTTGTAGGTAAACAATATTTCTTGTTGTTGCTTTGTCAGTGTTTTTTTTTTTTTTAATATAAATTTTTATTGATTTTTCCAATAACAATGTACAAAACAGTGAGATGAAAGAAATAAAGAAGAAAGGAGAAGAAAAGAAAAGAGAAAAAAAAAAAGTGTTGATGTGGAAATTGTTTGGTTTGCCTACTCTGGAATATGCAACATATCATTGTCCTTCTTTAGGGTTCCCTTTCAAATCTATGATACTATATCTCTCTATGTGTCAATCATATCTATCTATCTATCTATCTATCTATCTATCTATGGCTGGATGGCTCTTTGTCAGGAGGACTTTGATTAGATTTTCTTGCCCTGGTGAAGGGAGTTGGACTGGATGGCCTTGAGTATTTTCTGTTGTTCATGGAGGTTCTGTGTGGGAAGTTTGCCCCAATTCTGTCGTAGGTTGGGTTCAGAATGCTCTTTGATTGTAGGTGACCTATAAATCCCAGTAACTACCACTCCCAAATGTCAAGGTCTATTTCCCCCAAACTCCATCTGTGTTCATATGTGGGCATATGGAATATTTGTGCCAAGTTTGGTCCAGATCCATCATTGCTTGAGTCCACAGTGGTCTCTGGATATAGGTGAACTACAACTCCCAAACTCGAGGTCAATGCCCACCAAACCCTTCTAGTGTTTTCTGTTGCTCATGGGAGTCCTGTGTGTCACCTTTGGGTCACTTCCATCATTGGTGGAGTTCAAAATGTTCTTTGATTGTAGGTGAACTATAAATCCCAAGAACTACAACTCCTAAATGACAAAATCAAAAAAACATTGGGTTGTTAGGTGTATGCTGTCCAAATTTGGTGTCAATTTGCCCACTGGTTTTTGAGTTCTGTTAATCCCACAAACGAACATTACATTTTTATTTATATAGATAGGCAATCCAAAACACTCTGCATAGATGGAACCATGTTTTCTATTTGCACCGGGACTGTGGCGCAGCTGGCTGGGAGTCAGCTGCATTAAGATCACTACTGACCGAAAGGTCATGAGTTCGAAACCAGCCCAGGTCGGAGTGAGCTTCCAACCAATTTTGTGTAGCTTGTTGTCGACCTTTGCAGCCCGAAAGACAGTTGCATCTGTCAAGTAGGAAATTTCGATACCACTTATGTGGGGAGGTTAATTTAACTAATTTACGAGGCCATAAAAATCTCCAGCAAAGTATGCAAAGAATGAGGAAGTACTTCATCAGTGTCACAAATGGACGGTGAAGCGACAGCTCCCCTGGTGGCCAGAAGCTGGAATGTTAAATAGCCTCTAAGTGTCTGTCTATATATGTTGTGTGTCTATGGCACTGAATGTTTGCCATGTATATGTACATTGTAATCCGCCCTGAGTCCCCTGCGGGGTGAGAAGGGCAGAATATAAATACTGTAAATAAATAAAAAATAAATACATACATATTTCCTCTAATATTCTCCATACTTTCCATATTTTCCATTTATCCTGAGAGAGAAAAAGCACTAGAAGAATGTTTCATAGACCTGATAGCTTATGTGGAAAAAATCAAGCAGCCTGTGTGTGGGGGTGTATCAATTTCAAAAATCATATTGGGCAAATAATAGGCTTCAAGACAAAAGCACAGATGAATAACAAAAACGTTAGTTTCTTCTTCTATATTCTTACATTTAGTTTCTGGAGAATCTCATAAGTCGGCCTGTTTTTCCAATCGTTTGCGCAGATATCCGGCTGTTGTTCTAATTCAGTTACATTTGGTGTGCTGGTTTGCCTCTTGACTTTTGAGTGTTTGGGAAGGTCGAGCTCCTCAAAACTCTTAAATTCTGGAGGCCTGGAAAAAATGCATTATTGGAGGTTGCACAAATCTAGCAAAGACATTAATGATTCATATTCATACTTTGCTTTCAAGTGCTGAAAAATAAATATATTCGGATAGGTGTTTTGAGATGTTTTATTGCAATATGATGATACCTACTCTTCTGTTTCAGTGATTCTTAAGAAGTCCAGCTGATCAACCACTGCATCCGAAATCAATGTCTAAAATAGAGAAGAAGGAATGAGAGAAAGAAAATAGAAGTTGGCAGTTACATTACTATTCTCTGTAAATAATAGTTTTCTGGACTTTCAGGATAGTCCAGAGCAAAGGATTTCCTGCCATCTTTGTTCACTAGTTTGGGATGGCACATTACCCAATAGGCACTGAATCCTGTTGGTAGTCCCCATTAGAGTAGGTTCACTGAATCAATGGATTGATAGTAAAATGCATTCAACCAATGGATTAAAACGACAAGGAAAACAATTCCATAAATGTTGTTGTTCTTATTGTGGGCCTTTCCTAGCATATAGGAAACACTGCTTGAACACCAAGCACAAAGTAGCTGCACGTAATAACATCTTGCGGAAACTTACTGGCAGCACATGGGATGCAGACCCAAAATTAACAAGAACATCACCCCTAGCCTTGTCTTACTCAACTGCCGAGTATGCCTGCCCTGTTTGGCACAAGTCTGCCCATGCAAAGCAGTTGAACATAGCATTGAACGAAACATGCAGAATAATCACAAGATGTCCCCTACGAACCATCAAGACCACTAAGATCGTCTGGAGGGGCCCTGCTCTCGGTCCCACTGCCTGCACAAGCACGGCTGGTGGGGATGAGGGACAGGGCCTTCTCGATGGTGGCCCCTCGACTTTGGAACTCCTTGCCATTAGAGATCAGAACTGCCCCCTCCCTCATGACGTTCAGGAAACTAACAAAGACCTGGCTGTGGAACGCGGCATTTGACAACTGATTTAATTCTTTGCCCACATGAAAGGAGGATGATGAATGGGATTGTGATGGTGTTGGACGATTTGGCTCTTTTAACTGTGATGATAATGTTTTAATGTGTATGGTGCTGATATTTTAATTGTGTAATGAAGTGGCATTGTGATGTTATTGTATATTCTTTGTATGCTAACACATGTTGTGAACCGGTCCAAATCCCTCTTTGAAGGTGAGAGGGTCGGTATATAAAACCTCGAAATAAATAAATAATAAAATGTCTTAAACCAGTGTTTCTCAACCTGGGGGTCGGGACCCCTGGGGGGGTTGCGAAGGGGTATCAGAGGGGTCGCCAAAGACATCTAGAAAACACAGTATTTTCTGTTGGTCGTGGTTCAGAATGCTCTTTGATTGTAGGTGAACTATAAATCCCAGCAACTACAACTCCCAAATGTCAAGGGCTATCTTCCCCAAACTACATGTCCACATTTGGGCATATTGAGTCTTTGTGCTGAGTTTGGTCCAGATGCATCACTGTTTTGAGTCCACAGTGCTGTCTGGATGGAGGTGAACTATAACTCCAAAACCCAAGGTCAATGCCCACCAAACCTTTCTAGTATTTTCTGTTGGTCATGGGAGCTCTGTGTGCCAAGTTTGGTTCAATTCCATTGTTGGTGGAGTTCAGAATGCTCTTTGATATTGTAGGTGAACTATAAATCCTAGCAACCATAACTCCCAAATGACAAAATCAATCCTTCCCTCAATCCCACCAGTATTCAAATTTGGGTGTATCGAGTATTTGTGTCAAATGAATGAAAATACATCCTGCATATCGGATATTTACAAGATGATTCGTAACAGGAGGAAAATTTACAGTTGTGAAATAGCAATGAAAATAATGTTATGGTTGGGGGTCACCACAACATAAGGAACTGTATTAAGGGGTTACGGCATTTGGATGGTTGAGAACCACTGTCTTAAACCTACACCTGTTGATAAACTCTACAAGCTAGCTGGCATTGCCCCCCCCTCCCCCCGATGTGCGACGGGAAGTTGCTGCTAAATGTGAAAGAAATAAGGTTGAACACTGTGAAAGCCACCCATTACATGGCTACCAGCCTTCTCCCAGTAGACACAAATCAAGGAAAAGCTTTATGAGGACAACCACTCCTCTTGGCGTCCCCCAGCAACAGCAAGGGTCTCCCTCTGGGCAGCTCGACCAGGAAATCCCAACTGGATGGCCCCTCATGAGGGAGGGTCTTCCTCGAGGAGCAAACCAAGAATGAGCAACTTGGAAGTCCCTGAACAGACTCAGAAGCAGAGTGGGAAGATCCAAAGACAACCTGGCAAATTGGCACTACCTAAAAGAATTGCACACCTTGTGTGACTGTGGAGCAGAACAGACAACTCCGCATCTGTATGCTTGTCCACTATGCCCTGCCTCATGTACAGAGGAAGAATTGTTGGAGGCTACAGGCAATGCCATTGCTGTTGCCTGCTTTTGGTCAAAAGATATTTAGCCACCTGCGCTCCTTCTATTTTTATCGGTTTTATACTAATTTATGCAATGCTTTTGATACAAAATAAATAAATAAATACATAAAAGTGGGTTCCAATTTAGGGCAACTCATTGGGTTTTCTTGTATTTATATTTTTCTGAGGCTGAAAGATCACTCAGAAGGTTTCCATACTCAAGTGAGGATCTGAGCCCTTGTTTCCAGAGTGCAATGCACAAACCACTACATCACACTGGCTAATATGTAATCATTAGAATAACATTTTTTGCTGTAAGAGCTATTTGGTGGTGAAACAGATTGGCTTGGAAAGTGAAAGACCTTTTTGGTCTACAACTCCCACCAGCGATGTTTGGAACTGTAGTATGAAATTGACTGTTTTCTAGCTGTGTTTAAGCAGTACTGAGAACGACTAAGAAAGCTGCAAAGACTTCTAGCAGCATTTATGTAATATACGGTTATACAAAAACATTCTTCATTGACAGATTATACTGATTAAATTCTCTGGAACAGAATTTGTGTTCTAGCAGGGCTCGGTGAAATAGCACAGTGAAACACATATAGTAAAATGCTACAACATGAGACTAAAACAACCATGGAGACACGGCTCCTGGGTGCTTTTATTGCTGATGTTGCTCTTCTCTGTTTCACTTGCATAATCCCTTGAGCACAAATTATGATAAAAGAATTATAGTCTGCAACCACGGAAAGTATTAGGATGGGGAAACGTATACATTTGGCAGCCAAAACGGATGCAAATGTTTTTATGCAAATATCGCAAGCACAGATTATGCAGCTCTGCAATGAATTAACACCTAAACACTGAACTGAATATATATCCTGACACTCGCCGACAAATGCAAAAGACGAAAGTAAATTATGAACCTGCAGTATATATTCTTTTTAATAGATAATGCATTATCGGCACCATCTCAATATTTCAGTTTTTCCTCGCCACCTTAATGAAATGGACAACATCCAAAACATGACAGAGGATTAATTTAGGAAATTAATGTTTAAACATTAGCAAAAGGAAATAAAACACTATTAAAAAAGGATGATTTTAATGTTTTAATGTGCAAAGGTCAGGATGATAAACCAGAGCATGGCTCTGACAACCAATTCAAAAATTGCACAGAATCCCAAGTCCAGATTTTACTATGGATGTTCACTACAGATCTACAGATACGAGGGGCGTTCATTAAATATTTCGCCTGACCCACTTACAGTGGACTGAGAGCAATGAAACTTGGCACAGTTCTGAGTCCTTCTCTCCATGGGTGCCACCTCAGGATACACACTTTCCCCATCTTTTTAAGCAACTGTAAACATCTCGCTTGTACAAAACTACATTTTTCTACATTGTGACTTTAGAAATCAGAGTCTCCTCATCTGAAAAATGCTTGCCCTTCAAAAGTAAATTGTGGGAAAGAGGTGGAAGTCCGATGGTGCAAGGTCAGGTGAATAAGGAGGATGTGGTAGAATTTCAAAGCCACAGGAGCATGCTTTCTTTTGGGTAACATGTGGGTGGTGAACTGGTGCATTGTCTTGCAGAAGATGGACACCTTTGGGGAACATGCCACATTGTCTCTTGGTTTCGATGTCCTCCCGCAATGTCCACAGCAGTGAAGCATAGTATGCCCCATTGATCATGGTACCCTTTGCTAAGAAATCCATCAATGGGTTGTTGTAGGTTTTTTCGGGCTATATGGCCATGGTCTAGAGGCATTCTCTCCTGATGTTTCGCCTGCATCTATGGCAAGCATCCTCAGAGGTAGTGAGGTCTGTTGCAACTAGGAAAAAGGGTTTATATATCTGTGGAATGACAAGGGTGGGACAAAGGACTCTTGTCTGCTGGAACTAGGTGTGAATGTTTCAACTGACCACCTTGATTAGCATATAATGGCCTGACAGTGCCTGGAGCAAACTTTTGTTGAGAGGTGATTAGATGTCCTTGTTTGTTTCCTCTCTGTTGTTGTGCTGTTGCAATTTTAGAGTTTTTTTAATACTGGTAGCCAGATTTTGTTCATTTTCATGGTTTCCTCCTTTCTGTTGAAATTGTCCACATGCTTCTTATGGATTTCAGTGGCTTCTCTGTGTAGCCTGACATGGTGGTTGTGAGAGTGTTCCAGCATTTCTGTGTTCTCAAATAAAATGCTGGTTCCAGGTTGGTTCATCAGGTGCTCTGCTATGGCTGATTTCTCTGGTTGAAGTAGTCTGCAGTGCCTTTCATATTCCTTGATTCTTGTTTGGGCGCTGCGTTTGGTGGTCCCTATGTAGACTTCTCCACAGCTGCATGGTACACGGTAGACTCCTGCAGAAGTGAGAGGATCCCTCTTGTCCTTTGCTGAACGTAGCACCGTCAGCCCATTGTATGCTAATCAAGGTGGTCAGTTGAAACATTCACACCTAGCTCCAGCAGACAAGAGTCCTTTGTCTCACCCTGGTCATTCCACAGATATATAAACCCATTTTCCTACTTCCAACAGACCTCACTACCTCTGAGGATGCTTGCCATAGATGCAGGCGAAACGTCAGGAGAGAATGCCTCTAGAACATGGCCATATAGCCCGAAAATACCTAAAACAACCCAGTGATTGTTGAACCCATGAAAACCTTCGCCAATAAATCCATCAATATTACTCTGTGCTAGTCCCAAAATACTGTGAGCATGACCTTGCCTTATGAGAGTTGGGCACGTGCCTTCTTTGGAGGTGCGGAGTCAGGATGCTTCCATGGCATCGACTGGACTTTAGTCTCAGGATCATAGTGATGGACCCAGCTTTCATCCTGTGTGATCAGTCTGTTGAAAAAGTCCTCCTGGTTTCCATGGCACATTACTGTCAATAGATCCTGAGAGCATTTGACTCGTTCCTGCTTCTGGAAAGGTGTGAGCAGCCGGGGGACCCAGCAAGCGGATACCTTACACATGTGAAGATGGTCTTGGATGATTTTTTTTTCCCCACAGACCCTACACTAATCTTGACATTTTGGGCTAGGTAGGGAATGGTTATGCGGCAATTTTCCAAAATGGCGGCCTCCACTTGCTGGATGGTGTGTTCATCAATAGCAGAGTGGGGTTGCCCTAGAATTGGAGCTGATTCCACCGAAGTCCGACCACATTTGAATTGACGATTCCAGTTCTTGACTGTATCATATGATGGGAAATCATCACCATAAAGCTCTTTCATCTCATTGAATGTCTCCTTTGGTGTGCAGCCTTTCAAGTAAAGGAACTTGAGGACTGCTCTGTATTCCTTGGGTCCATTCTCAAACCTCACACCACTTCAAAACTTGTCAAATCAAGACCGTTCTCAGTTCTGAGTTGTAAATTGGCATGGAAGCTATAGAATGCTATATCACTAAACATGTGCAGTTTCAGAATCCTATAAAAAAAGAAGTGGGTCAGGGGAAATCTTTAATGAACGCCCCTCGGATTGGCTCGAATGCCCTGTAAACAGGTTTTGAAAGTTATTTCAAAATTCTCCCAACATTTCGTGGCAAGTATAGAAGCTCTCAGAGATAAGTGAGCTCCTCTTTGTGTATATAAACATGGAACAGAAACAGTGCAATATCTCATTCCTTGTTCTGAAGGGACAGTTGCTACTTCTTGTTTAGAGAGAAACCACATAGTAATTAGATTTAAGAAAATATTGAAATAAGAAGTTCGAAAAGTACATTTGTTCTTGTTACTCATGATAGTGTTTTGAAAATAGCAAGTCGATACTATTCATTGCAATGTAAAAAGAGCAATGCATTGCTTTGGTTGCTTTGTCTATTTATAGTTTTCGGGAAATCAGAATTGATAGGAGAATGATGTCAAATATGGAAACTCTGTTAACATTGTTCCTGAAATGCTTTAATTATTAGGAAAATATTCAAGGAAAGGCAACAAATGTAGAGCACAGCTGCCCTCTAAGGGCTCTGAAATAGTCCAGCTTTATATAAAAAATGACACTGGAATATACTTAGTGATGGACATCTGAGAAAGTTGGCTTTTACAAAACCTTGCTTTAAAAAAGCCATGCAAATTGCCCTGTTGTGTGTGGGAACAGTAAACATATGTTCACGCATAACTTATTTATAATGATAAAGTAATATCATTAGGATCACCGAAAGTAATTAGTTTTAATTAATGCCACCAGGACCACCTAAAATAATTTATGATAATTAATACCACCAGGATCACCTTGATTGCACTATGCAGCAGAATTTGAAAAAAAAAATCTGTTCCTGGTTTGAAAGTGTTATTTCCTGTTTAATTGTGCGGTCTTTACTTTGAAAGTCATTCTTATTAGTCTTGTGCATCCGAGTTAAACCTTGATCCGTTTCATGTCCTGGCTTTCGGTGGGGGCCTCTATCTATTTTTACGGAGCCTCCCAAAATCAGGAGGGCAGATCACTGTTTTCACTTTTCGGTGCCAAAATATCAGTTTTCTTTCGTTCCATTATTGGGAGGGGGAGGGGGCTTCCCACCCAGGCTCCCCTTCCCAGCGCACACTTTAAGGAGGCTTTTTAGCACTGGGGCCAAAAGAAAAAGCTTCTTCACCAGGACTGTGGCACAGCTGGCTGGGAGTCAGCTGCATTAAGATCACTATTGACCAAAAGGTCATGAGTTCGAAGCTACCCCGGGTCGGAGTGAGCTTCCGACCTATTTGTGTAGCTTGCTGTTGACCTTTGCAGCCTGAAAGACAGTTGCATCTGTCAAGTAGGAAATTTACGTACCACTTATGTGGGGAGGCTAATTTAACTAATTATCGAGGCCATAAAAATATCCAGCAAATATACAAAGAATGAGGAAGTACTTCATCAGTGTCACAAATGGACGGTGAAGCGACAGCTCCCCTGGTGGCCAGAATACCCTCAAGAAAAGCTGGAATGTTTTTGTGGCTGCCACAAACTATGTTGAATTGTTGAGACTCTATAACAGTGGTTCTCAACCTTCCTAATGCCGCGACCCCTTAATACAGTTCCTCATGTTGTGGCGACCCCCAGACATAAAATTATTTTTGCTGTTACTTCATAACTGTAATTTTGCTACCGTTATTAATTGTAATGTAAATATCAAATATCCAGGATGTATTTTCATTCACTAGACCAAATTCGGCACAAATACCCAATGCGCCCAAATTGGAATACTGGTGGGGTTTGGGGAGGGGTTGATTTTGTCATTTGGGAGTTGTAGTTGCTGGGATTTATAGTTCACCTACAATCAAAGAACATTCTGAACTCTACCAATGATGGAACTGAACCATACTTGGCACGCAGAACTTCCATGACCAACAGAAATTACTGAAAGGGTTTGGTGGGCATTGTCCTTAAGTTTGGGAGTTGTAGTTCACCTACATCCAGAGAGCACTGTGGACTAAAACAATGACGGATCTGGATCAAACTTGGCATGAATACTCAATATGCCCAAATGTGAACACTGGTGGAGTTTGGGGAAAATAGACTTTGACATGTTGGGAGTTGTAGTTGCTGAGATTTATAGTTCACCTAAAATCAAAGAGCATTCTGAACCCCACCAATGATAGAATTGAGCCAAACTTCCCACACAGAACCCCCAGGACCAACAGAAAATACTGTATTTTCTGATGGTCTTCGGCGACCCCTCTGACACCCCCTCGCGACCCCCATAGGGGTCCCGACCCCCAGGTTGAGAAACACTGCTCTATAAGATATTCATTGAAAAACTATAGAAAAATGTATTGCAGGATTTCCCACACATACAAAGTATTCACAGTTTAATACACTGTTTCCAATTTTTTGTGATAGAACCAATTAGGAAATGATATTTAGAACCCAGGAACAAATGGTTTGATATGTATTTGAATGGCTCTTCCAGTTTTCAAAATTCATGGGGCAATGTTTTCAAAAAGCATCTCACCTGCAGCCTGTCCACGTGAACTTTCACTCCCCCAACCACACCTTTCCTGAAATCGGCAAGCATGTCAAGTATTGGGTTGAATCTGCTTCCCCTGAAAGTAGAAACAAAACCATGTTTAATACAGCAAGCTCTGAGCTCAACACAGAAGTTTAAACTTTATGGGCACTTCTCTGCCTGTTACAGCTTACCTGATATTATCTTCCCGAATCAGCACAAGAAACAAGGGGCGGCCATGCATTTTCCAGTACTGTTTAATGAATTGCAAAGTGTTCTGCATAAAGAGAAGAACAAAATAGGTTCTGTAGGTTTGTTCTTAAGCTGAATTTGTATGTAAATCAGATCTGCAGGGATGCCGAATTCTGAACACTCGCCTCCTTTTAAGACGTCGGATCAACTGAATGCAGAAGGATGGTGAGTATGAATGAGTGAATGAATGGATTATGAGTGAATTTCAGAGTATATGTGATGTTTCCCATTTTGCCTGTGTAATCAATATAGCTAGCTAGTATAAAACCCAGTATTGGAGTTGTGTGTCTAAAGCTCCTTCTACACTGCCACATAATCCAGATTATCAAAACAGATAATCCACATTATCTGCTTTGAACTGGATTATATGGCGCAGTGGGTTAAACTGCTGACCTGCTGAGCTTGTTGACTGAAAGGTCGCAGGTTCGAATCTGGGGAGCGGCGTGAGCTTCCGCTGTCAGCCCCAGCTTCTGCCAACCTAGCAGTTCAAAAACATGCAAATGTGAGTAGATTAATAGGTACCGCTCTGGCAGGAAGGTAACGGCACTCCATGCAGTCATGTCGGCCACATGACCTTGGAGGTGTCTATGGACAACGCCAGCTCTTTGGCTTAGAAATGGGCACCAACTGCCAGAGTCGGATACGACTAGACTTAATGTCAGGGGAAAATCTTTACCTTTACCTGTTGTTGTTCATTTGTTCAGTCACTTCTGACTCTTTGTGACTTCATGGACCACCCCAGGCCAGAGCTCCCTGTCAGCCGTCTCCACCCCCAGCCCCTTCAAGGTCAATCCAGTCACTTCAAGGATGCCAGCCACTTCATATGTCCCTTTCCTTTTGTTGTTCTTCATTCATTCAGTCGCTTCCAACTCTTTGTGACCTCATGAACCCGCCCATGCCAGAGCTCCCTGTCAGCCATCACCACCCCCAGCTCCTTCAAGGTCAATCCAGTCACTTCAAGGATTCCAGCCACTTCATATGTCCCTTTCTTTTTGTTGTTGTTCATTCATTCAGTCGCTTCTGACTCTTTGTGACCTCATGGACCACCCCACGCCAGAGCTCCCTGTCAGTTGTCTCCACCCCCAGCTCCTTCAAGGTCAATTCAGTCACTTCAAGGAGGCCAGCCACTTCATATGTCCCTTTCCTTTTGTTGTTGTTCATTCATTCAGTCGCTTCTGACTCTTTGTGACCTTATGAGCCCGCCCACGCCAGAGCTCCATGTCAGCCGTCACCACCCCCAGCTCCTTCAAGGTCAATCCAGTCACTTCAAGGATGCCAGCCACTTCATATGTCCCTTTCCTTTTGTTGTTGTTCATTCATTCAGTCGCTTCCGACTCTTTGTGACCTCATGAACCCGCCCACGACAGAGCTCCATGTTGGCCGTCACCACCCCCAGCTCCTTCAAGGTCAAGACAGTCATTTGAAGGATGCCATCCATCCATCTTGCCCTTGGCCAGCCTCTCTGCCTTTTTCCTTTCTATTTTCCCCAGGATAATTGACTTCTCTAAGCTCTCCTGTCTTCTCATGATGTGGCCAAAGTACTTCATCTTTGCCTCTAATGTCCTTCCCTCCAATGAGCAGTTGGGCATTATTTCCTGAACTATGGACTGGTTGGATCTTCTACCTTTACCTACACTGCCATATAATCCAATTCAAAACAGACAATCCAGATTTTATATGTCAGTCTAGAAGTGGCCTACTTCTTTCTCTGAAAGTGCCTGATACTCTATCTCACTGAAAACAGATTAAAGAACATTTTAAGGTTCAGAAAGTATTCATGACATTATTACACCAGCCATACTTTGCCCTGCCCATGTATTTCTCAGTTCTTTCTCATTTTACTTGGAGCGTGATGCCATTAATTCTAAATTTAACATTCTCCAAAACTTGTTCTGGGTGACTTCTCTGTGATTCATGTTGCCTTGTAACACCCCATTGCACTTCTTTTATCGGGGCTCTCTCCAACCTTTATCTCAGTACTTCATTTGTCTTATTTAGGGCCATTTGAAACGTTGCCATGTCCCATGCGGAAAGAATCTTTCCATAGGAAAAGGAAGGCAAATCACACCAATCTTCTTGTGTGGTTACAAATTTAGTCAAAGTCACTGGACTTTGGTGGCTCTACCCAATGTAGATATACGCAAGGAAGTCGCATGATTTCCAGCAAGGGTTGCTTAAGTAAATAGTAAATACTCAAACCAATCTGTGTCCCGAGTGTTGTGATAGAGTCTGCTGGCAGTGATAGTAACACTAGTTGTAGTAGGAAAGGCAGGAAAACTACTCTCAAGCAAGACTATGATGTAGAGCAACAAAGGAAAAGAATCCGGGAGATACTTAGTGAGCCAACAGATGAGGATTCTTTTGAGGGTTTTGATGCAAATGAAATGGATGATGGGATATCAGATTCTGGGTCTGATGGGATGGATTGGACAAGTGTTCGAGAGATTCAAGATATTTGTGCTGAACCCACAAGCAGTGACACATTTGAGGGTTGGAATAGTGAAGACTTGGATGGGACTTGGGGAATTTCAGGATTAGACCAGAGATGGACTACTTGGAGGAGTGGTGGAAGAGGCACAACTGGGAATGGGTTGGGCCAAACTGGGGGCAACTCCAGTTCGGATGAGGAGCTGCAACAAGATACAGCTGGGACACGGGTGTTGGCTGAATCAAGTTCTGATGAGGACTTGTAGATAAAAGGGAGTGTTTGCTATTGTAGCCTTGCAATCGGCAAGGAGTCTTGTTGGGCGCTTTCTGGATCTTGCTACAGAAGACGGGTTTGAAAGAAGACTTTGGGACCTGCCATATTGCCCCGCTGCTTTGGCTCCTTGTGTTTACTCATCGGATCGGGACCAGACCTTGCAGCTGTTCGTCTCTCTTTGGATCAGACCGGACTGGACTACATTCTCTGTCGTTACTCTCTCTCCTCCACATCTACAACTGAGCGTCTGGAGCTGGCGTTATCTACATTCCTGCATTCCTGCATACCAGTTCCTGCTGTGTTTGAAGCTTGGGTTTCTTTTTACAACCCTTGAAAGGCTGAGTTTAAGCATTTTTTTAGTTTAATTCAAGTTATATCTCTGGTTAATCCATATTATATTCTGTTGGGTTTTTTTGCGTTCTTTTGCCTGTTTGGGCTTTTTCACACTGTAAACTAAGTGTTTTTTGCCCTGTGATTTTGTTTTGGGCTAATTCTGCATTTGTTTGAACAATAAACTATACTCTTTTAATTGGCTGGCATCTGACCTTGATAATTAGCTTGATAACCTCTTGTATAAACGTGCTTTGGATTTTTACAACAAACATGTGTTCTACAAATAATATACCTTAATATCATCGATCAGCATCATAACATCTTGGGACATGTAGAAATCACTCAGATCAAAGATAATTGGGTAGCAAACCACTGTTTTGCCCAATATTCGATAAATCTACAAGGCAAAAATAATTAGTTTTTTTTAAGCTAGAGAATCTTGATAAGCAAATCTTTGTTCCTATGGGGAATACAAACTCACCTTTTTTTCCCTAAAATTAAAGCCAATCAATAAATATATGCCACATTAATTAATTAAGCACCCAGGAAATCAGACAAAGTTAATGCTCACTATTTGGTGATACTTCAAAGAGATATATTTACTGCAGTGTGAGTAGGCAAGCACCTACTTCAAGCCATGCATTAAACCATCCTATAAATTACAACTGAGATGACTATCCTGAGCATAATCTTTGGGAAAGATAAATTATTTCAGGTTACAGTCTTACAGGCGTTTTGTCTGAGACTGAGTCACTTTGAACTCTATATTCTGAGTAGAAATGCATAAGGCTGTGCTGGGGCATGAAGCAATACTGTTAATTATCTTGTTCTCGTCAAGGCAACCTGTTAAGAATGTATTAACCACAGAAAGTTTCTCAACTCCAGCACAAGTTTAAAACAAGCTCTCCTTTGGATTGATTTATCCGCACATTGTGCGAAATGTTCTAAGCAAATCCTTTCCATTGTAAAGCTGAGTAAAAACACAGAGATAACAAAGTCTGGGATGGTTATTCAAAAAGTTGCAAATAATTAATTCAATGTATTGTCAAAGGCTTTCACGGCCGGAATCACTGGGTTGTTGTAGGTTTTTTCGGGCTGTATGGCCATGGTCTAGAGGCATTTTCTCCTGACATTTCGCCTGTATCTATGGCAAGCATCCTCAGAGGTAGCGAGGTCTGTTGGAACTAGGAAAAAGGGTTTATATATCTGTGTCTCACCCTGGTCATTCCACAGATGTATAAACCCTTTTGCCTAGTTCCAACAGACCTCACAACCTCTGAGGATGCTTGCCATAGATACAGGCGAAATGTTAGGAGAAAATGCCTCTAGACCATGGCCATACAGCCCGAAAAAACCTACAACAACCCAATTAATTCAATGCTATTGGGGTTTTTTTCTAAAAAAAAAAGTAATGCAACAAGAGAGCAACTATCATAGTTTTGCAACATCTGGATCAAAAGGGGTCTTGCAAATATACAAAATCATAGCTATACTGAGCAAAAGATATAATACTTCTCACCATCTTGCAGGCAAATAATGATAATAATGATGATAATAATAATAATAGACTCTGCAAGGAAGCAGATGAAACAATAGATTACATCCTCAGCTGCTGCAAGAAGATTGCGCAGACAGACTACAAGCAGAGGCACAACACCGTTGCTCAGATGATTCATTGGAACTTGTGCAACAAAGACCATCTGCCTGCGACAAAGAACTGGTGGGATCACAAGCCAGAAAACATTACAGAGAATGAACATGTCAAGCTACTCTGGGACTTCCGAATTCAGACAGACAGAGTTTTGGAGCACAATACTCCTGACCTCACATTCATGTTAATAAACAAAGTATGGATTTGCATTAATTACATATAATAATAATAATAATAATAATAATAATAATAATAATAATACGGATTGTCGATGTTGCAATCCCAGGTGACTGCAGGATTGAAGAGAAACAACTGGAAAAACTGACACAATATGAGGATTTAAATATCGAACTGCAAAGACTCTGGCACAAACCAGTCAAGGTGGTCCCAGTGGCAATTGGCACACTGGGTACAGTGCCTAAAGACCTTGGCCTGCACTTAAACATAATCGGCACTAACAAAATTACCATCTGCTAGCTGCAGAAGGCCACCTTACTGGGATCTGCACGCATTATTCGCTGATACATCACACAGTCCTACACTCTTGGGAAGTGTCCGACGTATGATCCAATACAATAGCCAGCAGAGTGATCTTGTCTGCTGTGGACTCATCTTGTTGTGTTTCTAATAATAATAATAATAATAATAATAATAATAATAATAATAATTTTTACTATCACTATATCTACCTAAAAGTCTGAGACAAGTGCACCTCAATCACACGTCATTATTATTATTGACACAAAAGCACAGTATGATCCAGCATATAGATCTCATTTGCTGTGACATACTGTGCTTTTGTGTCAATAATAATAATGATGTGTGAGTGAGGTGCACTTGTCTGAGACTTTTAGGTAGATACAGTGATAGTAGAAATGATAATAGTGAGCATACAACTCCCCTGTCCCATAATAAATAAATAAATAAATAAATAAATACATAAATAAAAGTTTATTTTTAACCCACCTTCCCTTCCCGAAGGGACTCAGGGCATCTTACAAACATAAAACATAAAATTAGCAAACATGTATACATAAAATTAAAACAAAATAAAAAATAGGGGGGGGGGGGTTGAATATATATTCTCATGTGTGAGAGTGAGTGGGGTTTTATTAATACCATATAATACATTGTTATCCATTCCATGGAATCCCACCAAGGTTTATACCAATTAGAGCATGCAGAAGGATGATTGACAGGACCTTTGATGTTCCGAGGCATCCAATTGGTCGGTCAGGTCTTCCTGAGAGTCCCAGTTTGTCATTGATCCCAAGATGGAAGTAAGCCTGTAAGACATAGTAGGGCATTAAGTCGAATGCAGTTAACACTATAGCTAGAAGTATTATAGAATCATAGAATCCTAGAGTTGGAAGAGACCTCATGGGCCATCCAGTCCAACCCCCTGCCAAGAAGCAGGAATATTGCATTCAAATCACCCCTGACAGATGGCCATCCAGCCTCTGTTTCAAAGCTTCCAAAGAGGGAGCCTCCACCACACTCCGGGGCAGAGAGTTCCACTGCTGAACAGCTCTCACAGTCAGGAAGTTCTTCCTCATGTTCAGGTGGAATCTCCTCCTGTAGTTTGAAGCCATTGTTCCGCGTCCTAGTCTCCAGGGAAGCAGAAAACAAGCTTGCTCCCTCCTCCCTGTGGCTTCCTCTCACATATTTATACATGGCTATCATATCTCCTCTCAGCCTTCTCTTCTTGAGGCTAAACATGCCCAGCTCCTTAAGCTGCTCCTCATAGGGCTTGTCCTCCAGACCCTTGATCATTTTAGTCGCCCTCCTCTGGACACATTCCAGCTTGTCAATATCTGTCTTGAATTGTGGTGCCCAGAATTGGACACAATATTCCAGGTGTGGTTTAACCAAAGTGGAATAAAGCATGGGTAGCATGACTTCTCTAGATCTAGAGACTATGCTCCTCTTGATGCAGGCCAAAATCCCATTGGCTTTTTTTGCCGCCACATCACATTCCTGGCTCATGTTTAACTTGCTGTCCACGAGGACTCCAAGATCTTTTTCACACGTACTGCTCTTAAGCCAGGCATTGTCCCCCATTCTGTATCTTTGCATTTCGTTTTTCCTGTCAAAGTGGAGTCTCTTGCATTTGTCCCTGTTGAACTTCATTTTGTTAGTTTTGGCCCATCTCTCTAATCTGTCAAGATTGTTTTGACTTCTGCTCCTGTCCTCTGGAGTATTGGCTCTCCCTCCCAATTTGGTGTCGTATAAAAGTATAGGTGAGGCTATCACATTTGGCTTGGGCTGATAGAGGAGAGTAAAGCCTGGTCTTCTCATCTTTGAGCGATTAGGGATCCCTTCAGGCCAAATGAGGATATTTATGTTCTCAGGGAGGTGAAATGACAACCGAATGTGAACAAGAGAGGGAAATGATCTGGAACACCGAAAAGAAAAGGAAAAAACCCTTCACCGGTGGGTACTTTCTGCTCACAAGACAGCCTCAGTGAGCACGTTAACTCTTAGGGCTCTCGCCAAAGCAATCCATCTGCTGCTTTCTGAGCCAAGTCAACTGCAGGGAGTGTGGTCAATGGTTCCGCTGCAGAGTGACCTTTTCAGAAATTAAAGGTCGTCTCATTGCAGAAATGCTTGGAAAGAAAGGTAAGCAGATAAAAAGCACTGAGGATACGAGAGTAGAAGGCGGATTGAGGGTGATTCTTAAATCTACTTTTGAGGAAGAGGAAATGGCTAAAATAAAACCTGGAAGCCGACAAAACAAGGCAAATGTCACAAATACACAGACTTCTCTAGCTTTATTCCATTTCATGCTATCTAAAACTAACTGTAAGGATCCTGGTGTATCTGTGCATATGAGTATGAGTGATTTTATTATTGTGATTTTACCTGAAATTACTGGCATCCTAAAAGGCAGTATATCATACATCCTATCTTATTAAAACAGCTATGCTGGTTCTCAATCTGTTTCTAAACCAATGCAAAGGTCTGGTAAGGACATTCAAAATCTTCTATTTCCTTCAATGAACCTGCTTTCCTATGACTGCCAGGCACAATGTCCCATGAAATGCATTAACGTAGGACCCAAGAGACCCATTAGCTGGGCCCAAGCTCTTCTCTCTATCAGAATACAAGGGTCGAATGAAAAGAAGTGCCTCCACCTTCGTAACTCCTCAACAGATGGGAGTACTGGCTTGTTCAGTAGACTCTCCTCTACAATTCAATTTCGGTGGGAAGCCTTAGCATTGAACAGTTGTGTTGTTAAAGTGCAAGGTATGGAACCCTGCACAGACAGTCAATCAATGCAACTGAAGCAGGCCCGTAGCCAGGATTTCGTTTTGGGGGGGGGGGGGCTGAATTTTTTCAGGGGGGGTTTCGGGGGGGCTGGGGGAGGTGAGTCTGAGTGAAAGAGGGTCTAGCCTAGCAAACCTTTTGTATCATTACCCCAATACCCCCATGCATATGGGATATATTGAGTATGGTGATCAGATCATGATATGAATAAACATAACAGTTTAAATAATGCACCAGTAAGGCCTTTTCGTGAACCACCATGAGAATTTTGGGGGGGGGGGCTGAAGCCCCTCAAGCCCCCCCCCCCCCCCCGGCTACATGCCTGAACTGAAGTGATGTGAGTACTGTGCATCATTGGGTGAGTAAGTTTAGATGTTGACTTGAGTGACAAACAAAGAGTTGGGCATCCTTGGACAGCAACCACTGAGTTTCACAAGCAAAAGGTTGACAGATTGACAGATTGATTCAGAACGATTATCATATCACTCAGAGAGAAATTTCAAGCATCATCGACATTTCACAAGAATGTGTGGGTCACATTATTGCTTTGCTTGACTATCGGAAGATCTGTGCATGATGGGTTGTGGAAACAAAATGTCAACTTCTTCCGTGATGGCATCAGAAAACTTGTTCATTGTTGGCAGAAATGTATCCAATTTTCAGGTGATTATGTGGAAAAGTGAATAGTAGTACTTAAAGAACACATTATAAGGATTATTTTTGTGTTTGATTTGTTAAAATATTCCCATTCAAACCCAAGTAACGAAGTTGGAGGCATTACTTTTCATTCAACCCTCATACTTTCAGAATATGCTCAAAAGCATACTATTTGGATAGATTTGGGGGGATGCTTCTTCATTCCAGTGCTTTTAATTACTCTGGTTGATTTATTTTCAAAGGCTATCTGTGCTTATTTAAAAATCTGTTTCCTCTGCTGTTTCGGTGTTTTATGGCTGTTTTATGGCAAATTTATTGTTGTTGTCAAATTCCCAGAAAATTATTGTTTTTACTTAAGTTGCGAGCCGCTTTGGGCCCACTGAAGAGAGTATAAGTGTTTTAAATAAAGCAAGGAAATCAATAAAATATCTGAAGATGAATGACTTAGTTATACAGGCAACACAAACAGAAGGACAGGTTGCTTACCTGTAACTGTGTTTCTTCGAGTGGTCCTCTGTGAATTCACACAGATGGGTCGAACTGTGCCTGTGCAGGTCCAAATAGAAATCTTCTCCTAGTTCTAGCTTTAAATTTTGGTGGTAACCCCATCCAGTCCTCCCTAGGCTATAAAAGGCACCTGGTCTTGACGGATGGTGGAGGTTGGTATACCCTCAAAGGAAAGTTTTGTTGCTGTTGTTGTTGTTGCTGTTTTCAAATTGCTTTTATTGAGAATAAGATTGTCTCCAATAGGTTGGACCATGAGATGAATTTTAAAATCGAGATAGGTTTACAATAAAAGTGTGGGAACAAATTGTGTAGGGACAGTAGGAAAGGGTAAGGGTAGAGAGGGAGCTGAGAGGGGAATGGAGGAGAGAAAGGGGGAAAATATCAAAACAAAAAAGCAACTTCCAGGTTCCTTGTATTGTCGAAGGCTTTCATGGCCGGAATCACTGGGTTGTTGTAGGTTTTTTCGGGCTATATGGCCATGTTCTAGAGGCATTTCTCCTGACGTTTCGCCTGCATCTATGGCAAGCATCCTCAGAGGTAGTGAGGTCTGTTGGAAGTAGGAAAATGGGTTTATATATCTGTGGAATGACCAGGGTGAGACAAAGGACTTTTGTCTGCTGGGGCTAGCTGTGAATGTTTCAGCTGATCACCTTGATTAGCATTCAATGGCTTGGAAGTACCTGGAGGGAATCTTTTGTTGAGAGTGATTTTATGTGCCTGTTTGTTTCCCCTCTGTTGTTTTGCTGTTGTAATTTTTGAGTTTTTTTAATACTGGTAGCCAGATTTTGTTCATTTTCATGGTTTCCTCCTTTCTGTTGAAATTGTCCACATGCTTGTGGATTTCAATGGCTTCTCTGTGTATTCTGACATGGTGGTTGTGAGAGTGGTCCAGCACTTCTGTGTTCTCAAATAATATGCTGTGTCCAGGTTGGTTCATCAGGTGCTCTGCTATGGCTGATTTCTCTGGTTGGAGTAGTTTGCAGTGCCTTTCATGTTCCTTGATGCGTGTCTGGGCAGTGCTGCGTTTGGTGGTCCCTATGTAGACTTGTCCACAGCTGCATGGTACACTGTAGACTCCTGCAGAGGTGAGAGGATCCCTCTTCTCCTTTGCTGAACGTAGCATTTGTTGGATTTTCTTGGTGGGTTTGTAGATCGTTTGTATGTTGTGTTTCCTCATCAGTTTCCCTATGCGGTCAGTGGTTCCCTTGATGTATGGCCAGAACACTTTTCCTCTGGGTGGATCTTCATCTTTACTCCCGTGGCTTGTTCTCGGTTTTTCAGAGGTTCCTCTTTTCATTCTATTTTCAGTCAATTTGCCATCTAGTTTCTATCTGTCCTTTGGCCTTTAGGACTCATTTATGTCTCCTGGATATAAATTTCTGTATTGTCTTTTCTAATAAATTTGATATTTTTCCCAGTTTGTTTTTTGTCTTTGTGTATTGTTTTCTGTTAATTTTTGTGTACGTAAATCCATATTCATTATATCCCAAACTTTCAATAGCCAGTTTTCAATAGTTGGTGTTTTGTTTCATCTTTGTTGGTCAACCCCGCTGTTTAAACAGCTCCACTGGCTGCTGATAAGTTTCCGGTCCCAATTCAAGGTGCAGATTATTACCTATAAAACTCTAAACGGTTCAGGACCTGCCTATCTTCGAGACTGCATCCTCCCCTATGAGCCCACACGGTCCTTAAGATCTGCCAGGGATGCTCTTCTCTCACTCCCACCCTGGATGAATTGTTGGGGATGAGAGAGAGGGCATTCTCGGTGGTAGCCCCTTGTCTCTGGAACTCCCTCCCTAGGAAGATTAGGCTAGCTCCCTCCCTAAACATATTCCATAAGGAATTAAAATGTGGA